ATTTTATTTTGTACATTTCAATTTAACTTTATGCACATTTCAGTTTCATCAAATGCACAATTCAGTTTCACATAATACTATCCAACGGTCCAAATTCATTCTCATTTCTCTCCTGGGAGAATGAATTTGGACCGTTGGATAGTATTATGTGAAACTGAATTGTGCATTTGATGAAACTGAAATGTGCATAAAGTTAAATTGAAATGTGCAAAAAAAGTTAAAATTCAAATGTGCATTAAGTGAAATCAAAATGTGCAGAAAAAAGTCACAAAAATGTTTTGCACGTTTCAGTTTCACCTAATGCACATTTCACTTTCACCTAATGCACAATTTAGCTTCATATGATGTCATTTTACCCTACCTTTTGCGCTGCACATTTTGAGTTCATCTAATGCACATTTCAGTTTTAATTAATGCATATTCAATTTTACAGAATTCAATCTAACGGTCCATATTCATTCTCACTTCTCTCCTAAGATCACTTTCTCATTTGAACCTAATTCTATATATATATATATATATATATATATATATATATATATATATATATATATATATATATATATATATATATATATATATATATATATATATATAGGGGATGGTTCTAGTGAGAACCCTTTTTAAAATGAGAACTCATTTTAAAATGAGAACTTCTAATCTCCATCATTAATTTTTATCATCAATGGTTAATAATGACAATGTGGTTTAATTGCATAAGAACCCCTTTTGAATTTGGGGTAATTATGAATATGACCCCATGTGAATCATAATCAATGATTGCAATAAATGAAAGGTTGAGTTTTAAAGTTCTCATTATAAAGAGTTCTCATTTTAGGAGGGGTTCTCACTTGAACCCTCCCCTATATATATATATATAGAAAAAAGATCAGGTGAGAAGTGTCCCTTAAAATGAGAAGTGAGAAGTAATCTCAGCCCTTGGATTTGCATCTGATCTTACAACGCAGTAAACTTATAGACTAAATATAGGAACTTAATTATAACCAACAAATAATAACTTATAAAGTTCTCCATAATAATTACGAAAATGCCACCGTGTCAAAAAAATTTCCATGTTTCCGTAATTATTTTTTGTGTTGGCATTTTCGTAATTATTTTCGAGGGGTCTATAAGTTATGATTTATTGGTTAAAAGTTCCTATATTTAGTCTATAAGTTTAACTTCGCAGTTTTCAGTCTAAGAGCACTTCTCACCTGATCCGCTCCTTATACACACAACACACAACACACACACACACACACACAGAGATTTAAGATCAAATGAGAACAAGGCTTAACGTGAGAACGAGAGAACGCCACATTTACCCTGATGTGATGCACAATGAGCCTCGTCTAATGCACTTTTTCACGTTCAACATCATATTTACCAAAATGCCACCGTTATTATTTATATTGGCTTGTTTGGAGCAAAGTCAAAATGTGCATCAGACGGGCTCTATGTTGTATCACATTGGGTTAAATGTGATATTGTGATTGTTCTCACGTTAAGCATCGTTCTCATTGGAACCGCACCATGTGTGTGTGTGAGAGAGAAATGCATCTAATGTGAGAAATGAGAATGAATCTAAGCCATTAGATTTATGAAGTTGCACTAAAAATAGCTTTATGTTGCAGTAATATTTCAATTTTACAATGTTGCACTAAAACTGTTTTCATGTTGCACTAATATTTGACGGCGTTGCACCGAAATAGCTTCATGTTGCACTAGACAAGTGTAATACGGATTTTTCAGAAGTATTTACAGAAATGCCACAGTGCTAGATTGCATATTTCAGTGCATCATGAAGTGTCTTTTATTGCAACTTAGTCGAATCCAATGGCTGATATTCATTCTCACTTCTCACCTAAAGGGTTCTTCTCACTTGAACCTTACCCTGCAACATGAAGCTATTTCGGTGCAACGCCGTCAAATATTAGTGCAACCTCAAACAATTTTAGTGCAACATTGCAAAATTTAAATATTATTGCAACATAAAACCATTTTTAGTGCAACTTCGTAAATCTAATGGCTGAGATTCATTCTCATTTCTCACATTAGATGCATTTCTTACCGACCAATATATATATATATATATAGAGGACTTTTCATGTCCAGCCGGCCTGACGGGAACCGCCGTTTGGCCTAGGGCATTTCGGGCAGTTGCCGGTGGAATTTTTTGATGAAATGTTTTGAGCATGTTCTTCATGAAGTCTAGTTTATCCATACCAAATTTCTGCTCAAAATTCGATCGGGAAGGCATTCAAATAATTTCTTGAAGTTAACTGGGCAGTTCATACATATAAACTGCCCAGTTAACTTCACAAATTTATTTGAATGCCTTCCCGATCGAATTTTGAGCTGAAATTTGGTATGGACAAACTAGACTTCATGAAGAACATGCTCAAAAAATTTCATCAAAAAATTCCATCAGAAAGTGCCCGAAATGCCCTCGGCCGGACGGCGGTTCCCGTCAGGCCGGCTGGACAAGAAGACTACTCTATATATATATATATATATATATATATATATATATATATATATATATATATAGAATCCTTTTCTTGTCCAGCCGGCCTGACGGGAACCGCCGTCCGGCCGAGGGCATTTCGGGCACTTCCCGATGGAGTATTTTGATGAAATATTTTGAGCATGTTCTTCATGAAATCTAGTTTATCCATACCAAATTTCAGCTCAACATTCGATCGGGAAGGCATTCAAATAAATTTTTGAAGTTAACTGGGCAGTTTATATGTATGAACTGCCCAGTTAACTTCAAGAAATTATTTGAATACCTTCCCGATTGAATTTTTAGCTGAAATTTGGTATGAATAAACTAGACTTCATGAAGAACATGCTCAAAACATTTCATCAAAAAATTCCACCGGCAACTGCCCGAAATGCCCTAGGCCAAACGGCGGTTCCCGTCAGGCCGGCTGGACATGAAAAGTCCTCTCTCTCTCTCTCTCTCTCTCTATATATATATATATATATATATATATATATATATATATATATATATATATAGGTTTTGGTTCAAATAAGAACACGATCTTACGAGAGAAATGAGAACGAATATGGACCGTTGGATTGTCTTCAAGTGAAATTCAGTGTGCATTAGATGAAACTGTAATGTGCATTAGGTGAAATTGAAATGTGCATCAGAAAGGGTACGATAGAGTGGCATTATGTGCAGTTGAATTGTGCATTACGTGAAATTGAAATGTGCACTAGGTGAAACTGAAATGTGCAGAATAAAAAGTATGATGTGATGTTATTTTTGTACTTTTTTTCGCACATATCAGTTTCATCTAATGCACACTTGAGTTTAAATTTTTATTTTGCACATTTCAATATCATTTAATGCACATTTCAGTTTCACCAAATGCACAATTTGGTTCCACATAATACAATCCAACGGTCCAGATTCGTTCTCATTTTTCTCCTAAGATCTATTCTTACCGGAACCGCTCCCTATATATATATATCTATATATATATATATATATATATATATATATATATATATATATATATATATATATATATATATATATATATATATATATGAAAGGGTTAATACGTTCTAGTGAGAACTCATCTTAAAATTAGAACTTGTTATAATGAGAAGTTTTAATCCCAACCTTTATTTAATTCAATCATTGGTATGATGCACATGGGGTACTTTGTGTAATTAATGAAAATTCAAATGGTGTTTTGTTTGTAATTATTGTAGAATTATTACAAAATTGTCCTTTGTTAATGCTAACCGTTGATTTCATAAATTAATGGTGTAGATTAGAAGTTCTCATTTATAAATGGGTTCTCATTTTAAAGGGGGTTCTCACTAGAACCCCCTACACACACACACACCGGTTTATAACATCCAAGACCATGGAAGAAAATACTGATCAAGTGTGATAGGTAATTAAGTACGCGACTAAAAAAGGTCAAAGCCTCGCCGCCGCGATGATCCCTAGAGCAAGCATCAAAGGTGCCCCTGGATCTTAACCAAGGTGGCCGACATCATCGTTGCAGTAGGACTGGATTTCACAGGCATTGCTCGAGGCATAGCAACATGATTAGTTCGCAGGTTGTCCCCAATTCGTAAAGCAATTGAAGACTGACATGGTTCGAAGCTATTGACAACATGTGAAAATCTTTGTCGGGTTTCCTTCCCGATATATCTGTCGTATTTATTCCCCTCGATTGTAGGGTGTTTCTGTCCCCGCTAGCTTTGGCCAGTCGGGTGTGGTGATTGTTTGGATGAGATGTGTGAGTAGGAACTACCAGTCTGCCACGGGTTGGGGAATTTAGCCACGACCTAAGTGCTGGAGGTCAGTATGGAGGTTGATGGAAACAGACCAAATAACGGCTTGTGGCAGTGCTACTATATCAACACCGCCTAGAATTCGATTAGTTCTTGTCAGTGGGAAGCTTCCTTTGAAGGTGGCTGAACAAAACCTCTTTCCCATTCTCGATGGTTGGTCAAATCGGACAGGCTCCTTTGGAGGTGGCCGGACAAACCTCTTCTCCCTCCCGATGGCTAGTGAAATCGGACTGCTTTCTCTGGAGGTGAATGATCAAACCTCTTCTCTCTTACCGGTGGCTAGGAAAATCGTGAATTATAACTCTTTTTGTTATTTTCTTTTGAATTACTTCAGTTTTTTATCCGTTTATTTTAGTAGCATGAACATCGATGCTGATAGATTATTAAGTGTCTTTCTTCCACTATTAATATTAATTAAGTGTCTTTCTTCCACACAAAAAACATCCAAGACCATGGTTGTAAAAAGTAAATTTCTTTAGTACTAAGCAATCGATTCTTTACATGTGATGATGTAAACGGTAAATCTCTCATCCATATCCGGTTTATAACATCCAAGCCCATGGTTGAACAAAAGACCTCATTTTGACAACATTTTTTTTTCAAACCAAAAATTGTTTATTTATTCTACTATTATTTCGTGAGAGTAAGTAGTGAATACTGAGTATAGGGGACTATGGGAGATAAAGCATATGCAACTGGACTAAAATACATCAATATTTTTTAGAATAATTACATTGAACAAAGTTCCTCTGTTTTGACTTTTGAGAATCTCATACTTGAATAATTTTCACAAACAAAAAATGAAGATAATTTCAGAATCTTATAAAAAATGTGGAACCTTAACTATACATGCAATGGCATTTATTTGTGAAATTAACATGCTGCAGACTACAAAAGAAAAAAATACACAGCCTATAACATTGGACAAAGCATATAGCAGGAAGACATTTTTCAAGTGATGTTTCCTAAGTTCAAGTTGGTTCCATGTTTGAATGAGGTGTTTGCTATGTAGTGAGAGCATCAGGGAGATTGGTGGAGGAACCCAGAATGCTGCCCCCGACATCAGGAAAGCACTCAAAACCGGGGAGGGAGGTGACTTCCCCGGACCGGCTTACCTGGACTGGATATTGCATCAGATGACCCCTCATATCCTGGTACTCCTCTGCCACAAACGCTTTCCAGTTGTACCTAGCGATCTCGTTCACACGCCTAACGCATTTGACGCTGTGTGGCTTTTGGAAGCATGCCTCCAGCTCCCCCAGGTGCTCGGCCCACAGAGACATTCTATAACCATACACCTGCATGCATGTATGCATCAATCTTTGTTGTTTACAATCTCACGCTCAAAGAGATTTCAGAGAGACATATGAGATCAAAAGGTTGGGCTTGTGTGAGACAAACTGATCGGTTGGATTTGATTTTTCAGATCCATTTGCATGATGAGCCCAACGGGTGACTGATACTGTGATACAATTATGAAAGTATATATATAAATCATGCATCAGAGCCAGTCTGGCCCACCATGTTTGTGTGGACTAGTGGCATGTGGTTTGGTGTGGCACCACTTAACGGAGAGTAGGAGATTAAGTTTGTGTTTTAAAGTTTGTGATTGCAAGTGACCAGCAATCATGCTACGATTGTCCACTTATGACAGGGCATTAAAAATACAAAAAAGGGCAGTCCAGTCCACATGGTTGTCACCGCCTTATCGTCTAGGGCCAATTCCAAGACTTGAACACATAACCTCTCAGACAAATAGCAACACATTTATGGGTGCGCCAAGGCTCCCAATTCAGCATTAAAAACACAAACTAAAAGATTTAAGAGATAGATGAATTTATAAAGCCTTAAAGTTAGGTTAGATTAGCTAATCTATTTGATTCAATTATTTCAGTGTAGTTTAAGAGATATAGAACGACTAGCCAATCACTTGGATTTAAAAATTTAGCTTGGCCTGTGTGCAATATTCTGGCCTAGTTGAGTGACAGCGACCCGATTAGTCGGGGCTAGACGGAGATTTCCATAAAAAGGCTGGATTATTGGTGCTACCATGTGTGCATTAGTAATGTATTTAACATTAGGGATAATCAAGCAAAATGAAATGTGTAGTTTGGACTCAGGGACTATTATCATATATTGATATAATTTTCATTGCATAAAACCACTATATCATTATTTTTTGGCTTGAGAATATAATGGAATAAAGCAAAATGGCTCACTAAACTGTCTGCGCTTCTTTGTTATGAAGCAGCAGTCAGTCCATGCAATTTTGGACACGATTTTCACTATGGGTCATCCGGTAACAGTCTCTCTGTGCTTTAGTACAGGGGTAAGACTGCGTACATCCGACCCCCCCTTACCCCACTGTAGGTGGGAGCCTTTGCGGCACTCGGGTAAATGAAAAAAATGAAAACCACTATATCATTATGCTAAATGCAGCTCTTTCCGGTCCTCCTAAAATGCATCAAACAGAACTAACAGATGAAAGAAATAATGAAGAGATGAGAATGAAATTCCAGACCTGGCCTTGAGGAAGGCTTTTCTTGTTCGCCCACGTTTTGTGTGGCTGATAAGCTCCCATAGCAATTTCTGTGTCCCTGGAACCACTCAAAGATCTCTGGTTGATATTTGCGGAACCCATTAGGATATATTCATCATCTACTATCATTCCTTTTGAATGTACATAGATCATAAACCTGCGGAACTTTTGAGATGATCTCTGCATAAAAGACATATATTAGGCGTTTCAACTTCTGTCAGATCAAAGAGCACTCAAATGTCTGTCAATCAAAGAGCTTTTAAATGCCAAAAGAGCACGCCTGTATCAATTAGTGTCTGCTCGGAACCTTGAAAATATGGCATAAAATTAGAAGGAAGGAAATTTGGGAGAAAATTAACAATACATTTAAATTCAATAGATAATTACTATATAATTGTTTAAAATTTTTTTTTATTTTTATTTATTTCTATTATATCAACATTAGAGTGCAAACATTTTTTTAAAATAAAATTGTAAATTGTAATCATATTTCATTTTACTATGCCTATCCTAGGTAATTAAATTAGCAGTTTGTTTTCCATTCCCTATCATTTACCAGGATCCAAGTATACCTTATTGTAGGTCAAAAGCCATTACTTCTTCCATCCTAAAAAAAATTCTTGGCTTGTTTGTAATACTGATCTCATAATAAAATAAACAATCCTCTTTTTTGGGAGGGAAGTAGTACTACATTGAACATTCTCCCTCCTTGCCTTGTAATTTTGCTATGTTAAACTTATATGTAGAATAATAAAGTAAAAACTGTAGCTGAGGTTGCAGAGGAAAAAAGTAATAAGAATCACAGTCTAATTACTCAAAAGTGAAAGTTGCAAACTTTTAGAGACAGTTAAAAAGGAAAAGTTGACAATGTTACTTGAGGCAGAGGTAGTATATTATAAAATAAGGTTTAATAATTCAAATATCTCAAAGTTTGGATAGGTGTGAGCTAAATATGCCGAACTTACAGTATAAGTGATTTCAGCACCATGAGTCAAAATTATTTACTACGTATTTCAAAATGGAAGCTTAGAATACTAAACCACCCATTCAAAATGTTTGAAGTATTTAAATTACGTGCTATACTGAAAGTAACATTTCCGAAAAATATCTATGCTGCTAAGATAACATTACTCATAATGTTCAGAATATTTATATTACACCCACTCTAAAAAAAAGAATATTTATATTACACATGCCAGTTTGGTATTCATGTCACACTTCTCCAAAATTTAGGGTGTTTGAATTATTATCTCCTTAGTTTTCTTCATAATAGGAGCTGCATTCATACTTTAATCTGAGAGGCAGAGTTGCTTACCAATGCACGGTCATGCGGAGGTGTACTAGGTTCGTCATAACTTCCTGGAGATGCAGCCTCTCTCTTACCAAGGCAATAGAAGTTCAAATAGTCCTGAGGATGGCGTTCAGAGAGGCCCGCACTTTCAAGCGCCCGTGCCACAATTTTATACATCATATCCATTGTTTGGTGCTGTGAAATTTTTCAAGATGTAATGACGCATATGTTACTTCTAGATGAGTTATGTACAAATATATGATCTTTTCAAACTTGGATCCAGACCAAGTTTAAAACTCTAATTAAAACTTAAGTGGTTAAAACTCTAATTAAAACTTAAGTGGTTAAAACTCTAATCCAAATCCTAATTAATACTCTTTGTTCCCTCACTCCTAAACCAGTCGCTGCCCCTTTAGATCCGGATCAACCGTGTCTCACCAACATTTAATTCCGTCTACCCAGATCCGTTATTTATTTTGATAAATGGGTCGGTTATGGTACAAAATTTTCTGACCTGTTAATGATCCGACCAATTTTAAAAATTATATTTAGTAAAAGTTAAACATACATAAAAACACACAAACATATACATTAGTGTTTGTGTCTATACATACATACATACATATGTCTACACACATATCTAGTGCTCCCATAAAAAGTGAGAATAAATCTCGGACTTTTAATCACTTGAACATATATAATAGATAAATTTTTAATCAAAAGACACAATGTTAAAAATAGGGGTGGTTAGATACAACATACCAGATATTTTATTTCATACATTTGTCGTACTGAAACTTTTGGTATACAAAAATGCATACCGTTACATTATCGAGATATCAGTATACCGAAATTTCAGTACGGCGAAGATACAATATCAGTAAAATATCATGTCATACTAGAATTTTAGTACAACAAGTTATTATATGTCAAATGAAATATACAAAATCAGTGGAACTAGTAATATAGTGAAATCACTAATGAATAAAAAAATTACAAGATTATAATGATGTATTGAAGTCCTATTCAATTTTGAATAAGAATTATCGTAATTATGACTCAACGTTTCAACGTGCCACATATTAAAAGAACAACGTGTTCTCCTTAATATAACTTAAATAACATAGATATAAATATAACAATAGAGGTCTGCAACAAAAAAGTAAAAATAATTCAAACAACATGAATATAAAGTCATTTATCCATAATGTGATGTTATGTTTCTAGTAATTTTTTTTAATTCTAAAGGAATTATTGGATTGGACTTTAGGTATAACAATAGATCACTATACCGATATACCAAAGTAATTCGGTAGGTTGCCATACCTTACCAAAAATGTCAATATACCAAAACTTTCAATAAATTCAATATTTTTCTATAAGGTAAGTGTGGTATATCAAAGTTTCAATATTTCGCCCCACCCCTAAACAAAATAATGTGCAAATGTGTATAAGACTTATGCACATTTTATTTTGTGTTTTGATGCACTTTTTTTTATTATCTATATTCACATTTTTTGTATATTTCGATACACATTTGTGGCAATATTTTCATTTAAAATTATTCATAATTACTCCGTACTAAACTGCCACCGCATTTCTTACTTAAAGTTTGATCTCTCACTCCCATTTTTTCACATCAATGGACAAGATTTGTTCTTATTATAAAATCTCTTCACCCATAAATACACTTTAAAATTTGATGGCTAGGGAGATCAGAACGTCAGATAAAATCAGAAAATACACATATCTAGGAGCTGGATTATTACACATTATTAATGAGTGTAGAACAAGATAAAATGGCCGTCTTTAGACGTTGGTCCACCTAGGTGCCCTTCCTTTAAGTCTTTAACCATCATTTTATTGGTCAGTACTCCATCCTTTTTGGGATTTTAGTACAAAAACTAGACATGGGTTACAATAATATACTCACTCCGTCCCAATCAAGGAGAATAAAATTTCAAACATTTTATTTTTTCCAAAGAGAGTAATATTTCAGAAAACAGAGATAAATTTGCATGTGACGTTCCAAAAAAATACAAACAAGTTCAATATGATAAATTTAGCTAAAGCAGAAAATAAGGTTGAATTTTTGTTGTTCCTTGACTTAAGTAGGAATTTTACTTTTGGGGCAGAGAAAGCACGATTCACTTTTGAAACTGGGTAAAATTAAAAGAGGGTGTCTAGTTGTGTGTTGAACACCCAATGCGAGCATAACGCAACCATGACTATACCTGCCAAAAAAGAATTTCCTGCACCGCAGAACTGGTAGTGATGCCTTCAGGCCACATTGGAATCACTATATACACAGCAAAATCTTCATATGCTGCTATTTTACTGGCAATATTCAATGCTATTTCCATAGGCACTAGGTTGTTAGCACCTACATAATAAAATTAATTTTGTAAAACATCATTATTCACAAACACATTTTTCTCAAGACATCATATTAAGGTAAGCAACACGATAAATTAAAAATCCCTTCACTATATGTTAATTTTTGAAATTTTCTGAGATTTGTTAGACACCTAGAAAGTGTTTGTCCAACTGTCTAAATATTGAACAGATTTAATAATTTTAAATTGAACAGACACTAGTGATTAATACGGAGTATTATTTACAACCCAACAGTCCAACACACTCTAAAAAATCATAATTATAAAAATAATAAATAAGATATTCCCTAGAGTAATGATGTCTCTTCCGTCTATCAAAATATACATCAACACTCCCCCTCAAGCTAGGTTTATAGATATCTTTCATGCTTAGCTTAACGATAAGACTCTGAAACCTAGGACTGTGAAGAGGTTTGATAAACAAATGTGCAATTTGATCTTCTGAGGGAGTGTAGCTTACTTCAATCAAACCTTCTTCAACCTTCTCTTTCATGAAATGACAGTCACTCTTAATATGGTCGTTACGATCTCGCTGGACTGGATTATGATTTCGGCTGATTGTTTATTTACTTTCACACCTCAACTACATTGGTCCTTCCCATCTAATTCATAATTCAGAGAGAATAATCTTAGTCCATAGAAGTTCACACAAGCCATGGACAGGGCTCTTAGCTCAGAATCAGCAGATGATCGTACCACAACAAATCGGTCCATGTCATGAGGTTCCCTATTAGGAAAACACAAATACCAGTAGGCGACGGGCGGAGAACGAGAGAGCCACCATAATCTGTATTAGTGAAGGCTTGGACTGATAATTGTTCGACCCTCTTAAATCAGATCTGGTGTAGGAGAGATAGATCTAGTGCAAACTTAATACATCATTGAATCAACCTTGGGCCGACTCACTCTCCCTTATGTGAGGTCCCGGGTTCAATTCTCAATGAAGTGTGATTGATCCCAGTTTATCCCAGACCTCCCAAACCCCCCTCACCCTGACGCCCCCGGGGTAAAAAATAAAAATAAAAAAAACACAAAAAAACATTGAATCAACCTTGGGCTCACCATTAGCAAGGCCAAGCTTATGATTGTGAAACATTGGCGTAGTAACCAATCAACGAGCACTGTTACCAGTCTCACTCAGCAGATCTATAATTTACTTTTTTCGGCTGATAAAAATGTCTTGAGATGAGCAGACAACTTCAATTCCAAGAAAGCATTTGAACTACCTTTGACGATGTTGTTTCTCAGCTAGATCATTGCCGGTTACTCAGTTACAATAATGCCATCCATATATACTAAAAGAATAGCAACTCCCCCTGGGAGGGAATGCTTGTTAGCTGATTGGTCTTGTTGGCGGCTGAGAAGAAGAGTCATTATCTAGGTTAGCTGATTGGTCTTGTGTCAACAACGGAGTGGACTTGTATTTCCTTGAGTACACTTTTACCACAAGTGGAGGAGAAAGTGGGTTATGAGTGGAGGATTTAGTAGGTGAAGGAATGAGATGGTTTGGTGATGAATTGGATCGAGGTTCAAGAGACACTGACGGCTGAGTAGACTAAGAGTGCTGAAGAACTTTTAGAAAGATAAAGGATTTTAGGCTGAAATGCTTGATTGAATTACTAATCTTTAAGTCCATTTTATACAACCAGGAGAAGAGCCTATAAAGTAATCTATTTTTTTTAAAGAGAAAATTTTATTCAAAACAGGTAAGGGTACAAAGCAGGAAAATACAAAAGGTATAGAAAGGAAATCAAAAAAACAAAGGTACTAAAAGGGAAAGGATAAAGAAAAAAGATAAAAAATCTAGGCCCAAAGAAATAGTGATCTATTTACTAATTAATATAATATATTCTAACGATTGTAACTGAAATCTGCAATAATATGAATATAATAACTATGATTTATTTGTCTTCTAGACGCCCCTGCAAGCCAGGTATTCGGTCGCCTTCAAGAATCCTTAGCTTGGTCTATTCCTACCTTCAAGAATCCTTAGCTTGGTCTTCAGAATAGCAAAGCGTTGTCGCGAAAGCGGTTTGGTGAGAATGTCAACTAGCTGATCATGAGATGAGATGTGATGAACACGGTGAAGTCCGCGTTAAATGCCCTAACGAACAAAGTGGAAGTCAATAGCATTTTGAGAATGATGTCCATGTTTCATTCTCTAATGGAAGTCAGGATTGGCGGAAGACGTAGTAGCACCCTTGTAATCATAAAGAAGAGTCGGTAGGGTAGGTAGCAAATGTCGTAGCTCGTGAAGAAGTGATTCTATCCACACAAAAGATCAGATGCCGCAGTGGATAGATGATATGGAACGGGAAGAGCATGGGGTGGGACAGGCTTAAGCCCACCTTCATTGGCTGGTTGCGGGTTGTTTAATTGATATTTATTCTTTTTATTTTTCCTGATTTGTTTCCTTTTGGAGTTAATTAGGATTTCTATTATTTCTTTCCTATTTGGAGTTTATTAGGATCTTTATTATTCTGTTTCCTAGTTAGAGTTGATTATGATCTTTATTATTCTGTTTCCTAGTTAGAGTTGATTAGGATTTCTAGGATTTTGTTTCCTAGTTTAATTATTAGTAGATGGGTATTTAAACCCCTTGTTAGGATTCATTCTGGCTCATCTTGGAATAAAAGTTGGTTTAGCCTTCTGACTCTGGGCAACGGTATTTGTTTATCGTTGATTATCTGGGCAACGGTTCACCCCGTTGATTTTATTTTTCTGTTCACAACAATTGGTCCGACCTGCCGGATCCCGTCCCGCCAAGATGACCAGAACTCAGAATGAACGCTTGACAGAGATGGAAAACAAGCAGAACCGAATGGGAGAGGAAGTGGCCCGACTGGGGGCTGAGCAAACCCGGATGGCACTCGAGCATAACCGAATGAACCAGACGCTCGAAGACCACAGTGCAAAGCTGGCAGAGATCGCCGCCTCTCTGGCCGCGCTTACTCAGGCCCTGTTGACTCCGAAATCGTCGGACACTGCCGCGGCAGGAGTCGGATCTGCGTTGATATCGCCGAACGTGGAGGGAGTGTTGCGCAACCCTGCTCCAACCTTGATACCTGCGTTTGACGGAACAGACCCAATCGGGTGGATGGCTAGGGCTGAACAACAGTTCGAAATTAATCAAACCCTACATGAGAGGAAAGTGACAGCAGCTACGGTAGCCATGGAAGGGGCTGCCCTGTACTGGTTGACCTGGCTGAAGGCACGAAAACCGGGCCTGTCTTGGGAGGAATTCACAGATGCACTGGTGACCCGTTTTGATTCGCGGTTCAAGGGCAACCGATTTGAACGGCTGTCCGGGGCCAAACAGTTGGGGACCATAGAAGAATATAATAACCTTTTTGTGCAGTTGGCCAGTCAGGTTCCTGGGCTGTCCGAGGATCATTACTTGGGCTATTACATGAGTGGGCTCAAGGAAACAATCCGAAGCTCGCTGCGATTACTTCGGCCGAACAACCTGTAGATGGCTATGGAATTAGCTCGCGAAGTGGAGCATAATCTGTCCTTCCAAAGTGGAGAAGGTGGCAACCTGAATTATCATTCTTCAGGGGTACGTTCTAGCAGCCTTTTAATGGCAAACACAAGTTCCCCGTTGACTGCTATTGGTGGCAGCTTACAGGGTTCGGAAGGCAGCTTTGCGAAAGATAGTGGACAGCCTCCGGGGACGAAATCAGGGCTGTCCGGGCAGCCTACGACACGCTCTCAGTTCACTCGACTTCCGCCGAAAGAGTTTGCAGAATTGAGGGCGAAAGGATTATGCTTTAGGTGCAAGAAACCATTTACGTCGGGGCATGATTGTCCCTTTAAGTAGCTGCGTGTAATGATAGCTGAGGAGGATGAAGAGTTAGACCTCAAGCAGCATGAATTCTGCGAAATAACCAGCCAGGAAAGGGTTCGGGAAAGAGAAGAAAGATATTTTCCAATCTATTCTATGTCTGGAAATTTCAGTTCCCGATCCGCGAGTTTTCAACCTTGAGGACAAGGTTAATTTGAAGGGGGATGGATTGATATGGAACGGGAAGAGTATGGGGCGGGACAGGCTTAAGCCCACCTTCGTGGGCTGGTTGCGGGTTGTTTTAATAATATTTATTCTTTTTATTTTTCCTGATTTGTTTCCTTTTGGAGTTAATTAGGATTTCTATTATTTCTTTCCTATTTGGAGTTGATTAGCATCTTTATTATTATGTTTCCTAGTTAGAGTTGATTATGATCTTTATTATTCTGTTTCCTAGTTAGAGTTGATTAGGATTTCTAGGATTTTGTTTCCTAGTTTAATTATTAGTAGATGGGTATTTAAACCCCTTGTTAGGATTCATTCTGGCTCATCTTGGAATAAAAGTTGGTTTAGCCTTTTGGCTCTGGGCAACGGTATTTGTTTATCCTTGATTATCTAGGCAATGGTTCACCCCGTTGATTTTATTTTTCTGTTCACAACAATAGAGCACGATATTCGGCTTCTGTTGAGGACTTGGCAATAGTGCGGTGCTTGGTAAATTTCCAAGAAATGAGTGATTTACTGAGAAAGATGGCATATGCAATGGTAGAAGAGCGATCATCTTGTTAGGGACCTGACACTACCAATAATAAGAGTCTTCTTAAGTAATTTTAATATTGTCAATAATAGGGTTTTAGGCCCTATAACTAAATAGAAGTGGGCTGACCCATTAAGAATAGAATAAATAAGGGTGAGCAGTGAGTAGATGGGGAGGCAGAATTTTGATCGGGACTAGGATTTTGGGAGTGCTAGACCACTCGAAGAGTCTCAACCTTCTTCTTTCGTTGTTTTATGTTTTCCTTCATTAAATCTTCATAAATATACTTGGATCACCTACTGGGATTCTTCCGCTACCTATCATTGGAATCAAAGCAAACGATCAATGTAGCTGTGTATGATATTCACTCGGTCGAACATGGTACAGAGAATTGAAAGTTTGGAGCGATCATTAGAGCGTTCAAGGGAAGAGATGTTAATGGAGAT